CATGTATTGTATTCTATATCTACTTTTTATCAATTTTCCTCACACTGTAATACGAGAAACCTGGAATCCTCTTTGGAAGCAGAGGTAGTTAAATAAGAAAATATTTAAAACAACTGTGTGGTAACTACAGTAAAGAGTAGCAGAAGTCAAATTTACTTTTGCTACTTGCTAGGCTATTTAGTATGTCTGAGCAAACAGGCAAGTTGTATAGTTTGGCTTATGATTGACTCTTCACGGTTCTTAAAACAACAGCCTTTAATTTCATCATAAAATATCTCAAAAAGAAGTAACAGGAGGATACTAAAATTATTATGTTGTACAATTTGATAGAGTGGATAGAGAGGAGGAAGAGACAATGAGTAATGAGATTTATTCATAGACATAGAAAAGAATATCAATTTCAGATGAGAAGAAAAACTATTACTAAAACATCTTATAGAGAGCCTACAACTCTGAAAATATTGGATAACTTTCTCTTATAATTAATATCATGTTATCAAGATGCTAGAGATAGAATTGCTGAAGAATATTATTAGTATTATTATTAAGCCTATTTCTCCCTGGGTACATAAAAACCACAAAGGGCTAGCTACAAGCAGTTCAGCTTATAAAGCTGTTGTAATGTGAACGTCAATTTGCTTTATGAACTTTGTGGTTAACCCTCAGAAAAGCAATAATCCCTGGAAGCCCTCTACAGAGTTGGAATGCTCAGCCATGCACGAGCCACCACTAGAGGCCAAAGGAATTTGCTATTTGAAAAATAGACTGGAAAGTTCTCAAACTTCTCCCAAGCACAAATCTTGCAACCAGATCCACAATAATATTAGCTTCTAGTTAATAAAATATACAGAAAAGGATATGGCAGTTGCAGGACCCATCGTGAATCGTGTTATCAAACATTAAGCAGCTGGGAGGCCTGACATCCTCATGTTGCAAATTAATTGAAATTAAATTACACTTAGAAAGATGCAGAGGAAAGTCTGTGATGAATGTGGGCTTCCTGTATTTCACTTACAGGGTTTAAATAATGTAGAAATCTCTTCAAAATGTAACCGTGAACAGAGATTTTAATTATTTTTGTATGGAGAGTAAGTTTTTGTCTTCTATTTCCTATCTGTGAGACTTTAGGCAAGTTTGTTCATCTTTTTGGACATTCCTTTCCTCATTGATAAGGTATGGAAATTCAAAGTAGATAATCTTATCAGATAATTGTGAAGAATAAGTGATTTGCATAATACATACCACATGTTTAGACATGTTGGCACATAGTAAGGGCTCAATAAACTTTCACTTGCCAGACATAGAAATAAGAAGGCAAAGCTTACATTTAACTAGGTTTCACTTCCTGGTAAAGCAAAAAATTATGTTCAATAAATAAATAAGCAGGAAATCACTTTTCAAATGAGAGCCCTGGCTCAAACCCATCTCAGGTGAAGTGATTCACATCTTGACATTTACTGCAGTGAGTTGTAGATGATCTTCAAAGTAAAGGATCTTTCGAAGACTGATAAACTTTTGGGAAGCTTTCAAAAAGATTTTCCTTCAATACGTGTAGTTCTTGAAATTGCAACATTAATTTTTTAAAAATCTCAGGAAAAAGAAGAGAAACAGCCGAAACCGGTTTGGCTCAGTGGATAGAGCGTCGGCCTGCGGACTGAAAGGTCCCAGGTTCGATTCCGGTCAAGGGCATGTGCCTGGGTTGCGGGCACCTCCCCGGTAGGAGATGTGCAGGAGGCAGCTGATCGATGTTTCTCTCTCATCGATGTTTCTAACTCTCTATCTCTCTCCCTTTCTCTCTGTAAAAAATCAATAAAATATATTTAAAAAAAAAAAAAAAGAAGAAGAAGAGAAACAAAGTAAAGCAACTTGGAAAAATTTCAGTTTCTTTTTTTAAAGGTTTATTTTCTTATAGAATGCTGATGACATTTAATTATATTAGGAGAATGGTGGTTTCAGAAATACAATTTGAACTAAAAAAGATATGTCATTAGGTGACTTTTCTTTTTAAAATACACTAAAAATCTTTGGCCCTTTGATGTTAAGAACACTTCATCTTTAGTGCCTTTAGGTTACACTTGGAATAAACATTTCTACTAGTGTTCAGAAACTTTAATATTAACACCACCTTCAGATATATATGTGCATGCATGTATGTATGTTAGACCAACCCTGTCCTTGATTAACGTTAGTAGCAGGTGAGGAGAGTATTTTGTGAAGCACTTGATTGACTTGAATTTAAAACGTTCCAAGGAGAATAATTTCCATGTGTGCCAAAGTATTCGTGTCATGAGGGATTCTTTACCAAGAATTGATTCAGTGTTAGTATGTCATTGAATGTGAGGGAAGGAAGCACAATGTCCAGTGTATGTCTAGAATTCAGCCCAGCATATCTGGTTCATCACATTCCCAGGCAAGAAAAATTTTAGGTGATCTCAAATGAACACTGCCTTGTTTGGAGGACTAAAATTTTCCAGGAATCTATAATCATTTTAATCAGAATGTAATCATTAAGCAAAAATGGAATGTCTGAGCTTCTATAGAAATTCTCCCCTGCCCCATCCTGACTCTTTTATATCTCTATTTTTCATTTTGTGTTTTCTTTTTGTGTGTGCTTTCTTCTCGTTAGAGTGCGTTCATTCAAATACATCCCTTTCTGTTAATTCTGCTGTCTCTTTATATTACTATCCCTTCCTTTCCTCCTTCCACTCTCCCTGCCAAAATATTTTTTTAATGAAATAAATGATTTTCAGAAAAGATGCATGCAAATAGCTAACAGGGAGTTAAAGATAATACCAGATTATGTATCTTAGATAATGTTTTAGAAATAACAGTAAAAAATTTATACCATCATGTAAATAAACAAATTAATAAAGCTGGTATCACTTATCTTGCCATAGTGCAAAAATATTTTCATATGATTGAAGATATATGCCACTGTATACAACATAAGCATATCATATTCATATCTATGTAGTGTGTTTAAGATAAATTTTATTAATGCGTGGAATGTAGAATAAGATTGTTTCTAGTGCCACTTGACCTCAGACACTATACACCTTACAATGACCAGGCATACACCCACCACTCGTTTAGCAACCTTGCTTAGCAAATGGGGAAATCTATCTGCCAAATGCAACAGGAAGGTGTGTGTGTTTTTTTTAATGTCTATGTTGAAATCTAGAATCCTAAATTGTAGAATTACTTCCAGTGGACTCCCCTCAAGTAAACTAAACCTGGAATCTATTAATTGGAGTAATTATTCCAATTACTGCCCATTCTATTACAATGGAACTCTACCAGAAGTATCTCTTTGGGTACAAAATGAAGGACATGTATTATACTCTTTTTCTAATATTTAGTACAGCCTTATAAGCATTAAAGCCTACAGCCCATTTTTCTCAGTGATGGTAAAGGGACATTATCCTATTACACAGGTCTAATTGCCTTTGAGAGACAACACAAGAACTAAAAATAGGGAAAGTATTATCATAGTCATTGTGCTCTGAGTTAAGCATCCAATGTATGCTTTGTCTCTGGATCTGTTTCTAGTGCCACAACCCTCAACAATTAGATTGGATTATAATTGTGCAGTGGATATCTTAGTTTTGCATGCTTTATTCATCAGATAATGCATTTGTATATTAACTAGAGGCTCAGCGCACAAAATTCATGTGCGGGTATGGTCCCTGGGGCTGGCCTGTGAACAGGGCCATCTTCCCCAGCTTCCTGCAGCTGGCCTCACCCCCTACGCCCACCCACCCCTGGATCCCCGGTCACCATCAGGTGATAGGTGCCTGACGGCTGGGGGAAGGGACCGAGAGGTAGGCTGTTCCTGCCCGCTCACCAGCCCTGCCCCTTCTGTGGGTGGCCATCAGGTGATCGGAGCCTGCCAGCTGGGTAAAGGGACCAGAGGTGGTCAGTGAGCCTCATAGTGACTGGTCCAGAGGTCGTTCTGCTATTAGGGTCAATTTGCATATTACCTTTTTATTATATAGAATAAAGGCCTGGTGCATGGGTGGGAGCCAGCTGGCCTGCCCTGAAGAGGGCCCTGGGTTGGGGTGGGGGGTCACCGCTGTGGGGCAGCGGCCTGGGCGAGGGGTCATGGGCAGTTTGCAGGCCAGCCATGCCCTGGCTTTGTCATGAAGGACATCTGGAAGATGTCCGGTCTATCCGGTCTAATTAGCATGTTACCCTTTTATTAGTATAGATTATCTGATATCAGTGTGTTTGAATAAGCCCCAGACCTATTTACACACTTATATTTTACTTTCTAGCTCTTTTGTCTATCACATATACCAGGGGTCCTCAAACTTTTTAAACAGGGGGCCAATTCACTGTCCTTCAGACTGTTGGAGGGCCAGACTATAGTTTAAAAAAAAAAACTATGAACAAATTACTATGCACACTGCACATATCTTATTTTGAAGTAAAAAACAAAATGGGAACAAATACAATATTTGTATTTGCATGTGGCCCGCGGGCCGTAGTTTGAGGACTCCTGACATGTGCTATCACATATTTCACTGGAAGAACAGTGAATTATGTTCGACAAAGTGGCCTCCTTTTAGGGAAGGTGCATTTTAATTTGACATTAGACACAACCAGCTTTAAAAATGTGATTGGCTTTTATTTCTTTGAAGATTTCTTTTGGAAATACACTTACTGCAAAAATGTGCTCTCTGGGAATTTGACAAACTAGCTGATAATAGGATAAATCATTTTTAGTTTACAGAACAAAACAAAAGCTTCATTACTTTGCTGTTATTGTTTACTATATCAAAAATAAACTGTAATTTTTAGTTAGCTATGTGCATCTAAGTCCAGATATTGTTTGATAAAATGAGCCACATGGGAAAAGTTCCATTTCCTTCTGATGACATATCAAATATGCCCTTATCTCTAAATACATTAAAGATGAAGGAGTAAAGCCTTCGTACTATGTTTTTCCACATATCGTTAGCACTAATAGAAAAATTTAAATTATGACATTTACTTTGCAGGAGCCAATGAGAAAGAAATAGTCCTAATGAATGCTTTGACTGTTAATTTGCATCTTCTACTGGTAAGTTTCTTCTCCCATCAAGGTTTCGTAAACATTCATTTACAGAACCTGACATTTTTCTATCTTTAATTCGTGAGCATCTGGTGATTTAGTTACTTAAAAATAAGTCGTGAAGCTATTTTCGTTTTTAGCAGGAAATGCTGGACCCTGGTAAGCTTCTTCATACTTATAGGAGAGTTGACTCTTGCAAAGAGCTCTTTTCTCAGAACATAAGGAATTAGAGTCACAGTGGGTGAAAAGCACAGAAAACCATGACATACAAATGCGAGCAAGCACTGAGCTTTATAGAAAGACAGTTTTTCCAATATGCTGGACTTCAGCAGGGGGGATTATGGATCAGTATGATTTTGTAGATATTAAGTTTTGGAAATAGGTTAAAAAAGAATGTGAAAATAAAACTAAATTGGAGAAAAGGGACCTAGAACCTGAAATGAGTTACTGTGTTTAAGGTGCTTCCTTTTTGTTAATCCTCACCCAAGGATATTTTCCATTGATTTTTATAGAGAGAGTGGAAAGGAAGGGAGAAAGAGAGAGAGAGAAACATCGATGTGAGAGAGACACATCGATTGGTTGCCTCCTGCACTCGCCCAACCAGGGCTGGGAATCAAGCCTATAATAGAGCCTACATCCCAGGTACGTGTCCTTGGCTGGAATTGAACCCAGGACTCTTCATTCCTCAGGCAGACATTCTATGTACTCTATTCATTGAGCCAAACCAAAGTATTTAATAAATGTCAAATACATTCTTGATTTGAAATATGATGTCTATAGTACTTGCTTGATGCTTTGTAAATGTTTTTTTTATTTTTAAGTTTTTGTAATCATATCTACGTGACTAAGATGCACAATGAAGTCATCAATATTTTATTTTAGTAAAATGGAGACATGATAATTAAATATGATTGAAGAAACATGCTTATGGAGTATGCTACGTATCATAGTAAAAAGCATAGTTTCAAGTTCAGACATCCCTGGATTGACTTCCAGCTAAGATACTTAATGCCTGTTTGAATTTGGATGTTTTTTGAGGTGTTTAAATCTTAATTTTCTCCTTTGCAAAAATGAGAATAATAATGGCTACCTTGTAGGTATGCATGAGTATAAAATGTGATAATATGGAAAATTGCTTTAGCACCCATGTCAATGATCAACACGTAATTAACAGTAGCAATCATTTTCATTGCTATTATTGTCAGCCTCATTCTCCATGAACTATTGGTCAACCAAAAAAAAAGGCCCCAGTGAATGAGTGAGCCACTGCTCCCTGGTGCCCCTGGGAATGCGAAATGTTTCACGTTAGGGCTAAAAGACTTTTGAATTGGACCTAAAATAAAGTCCCATAATATAGTAAAGCAGTGCAAATATTATGTACTAGAAACCAAATCACCAGAGGAAGATAAACCAATATAAATAAGACTGATATTTCAGTCTCACAATAGAGAAATTACCATTAAATGCATTAGGAAGATAATTTTTCAATTAAAGTTTAAATAAAGTCTGAGGATTTATACTTTCTGATTCACATTTTCTCCTGAATTTGCCAGTCTCTTCTTTCTCTTTATAATTCATTGGAAATGAGGCTAATTGGAAAGGTACCTTCGACAGACACCTACATGTGTAATTAATTAATGCCTTTTAAATGCTGGAGATTATAAAATGAAAGTGTAGTATAAACTAACCAAATGTGTAATTGTGCATTAATGCTTTTCTCAATAAATCCATTTCATTGCAGTTATCGTTTTTTAAGCCGACACAAAAACGGTACAAAATTCTTCTTGAAGCCAAAGCCTTCCCTTCAGATCATGTGAGATTCTTCAAATTATATTTATATTCTGTCTATTCTTCCTAGCGAAGCATATCATTTGCCTGACTTGAATGTTTATTCCCTAGTCTTTTTCTAAGTAAACTTAGAATAAAAAGATCTGTCAAATGCTTTTGATTTAGATATTTTAAAAAACAAAGTGTCGCTTTATTTCTTTTGTTCAAGTAAAACATGTGCTAGGGGAGGAAAGAATTGAACAGGAACATTGATTTATTAGTCTTTTCAAACAGCATTCAACAAACTGCTGGTCTAAATCAAGTGCCGTTATAAATGTTTTGTTAATTCTTGTTGCTCTTTTATTTTATAAAATTATACTGATATATGTCCTAGTGCTTAATCCTTTGGTTACACAGAATAGTAATATAAAATTTTATTTGTCCATTTTTAAAACATGCTAGCAAGTATTGTAAAAATTTTTATTAGAGATTTTTAAAAAATTTCCTGTGATTCACTAAAAAAGGCATGCTACTTTATCAGCAATTCAGTTGATAAGAAGTTAGATTGTTACAGATACAGACACAGATAAAAGTATATTGCTCATTTCAGTTTTAGTCATAGAGAAACTCAAGTTTCATCCTTATATTATCACTGTTAACTATTCTAGTCCACATCTTGTCACTTTAAATCCTTTAATTATGTCCACATTAATAGCATTACCATACTAAAAAGGATCAAAACCTTAATTAATAGCTTGAAAAAATTCGGGGTCACTATTACTGCAACCCATTCAGATCTAGTAGTCTCATTGAAAAGAACTTTTCGAGATATATATATATATATATATATATATATATATATATATATATATATATTTTTTTTTTTACTAGTTTACTTTCTCTAGGATGAGTCATTTGCATAGTCTCTGTTCAAGCCTAGCAAGTCCACACTATGCTTTGATTATATTTTAGAATTTTGATTTGCATTTGTGATTTACTTTCTTATTCTAAAAATCTCTTGTAACTCCCTGAAGTCTAGTTGGTTGGCTCCTATGTTTCCATTTATCTCTATTATTTATGTTTCAAAGAATGTTCAGATTCCTGCCTACAAATTATATTAAGCAGTTCTTCTCTAATGTATTGTGTTTAGTCACTTTTAACCTTGACCTTCGATATAATAATGTACGTTTATTGCTATTTATTTATTTATTTTAGATTTTTTCATGGCTTTTATTTATTTTCTATTTATTTATTTATTTTCTTTTTTAGAGAGAGAGAGAGAGAGAGAGGGAATGAGAGAGAGAGAGGAAGAGAGAGGGCAAGAGAGAGTGAAACACCGATGTGAGAGCAAACCAATGATCAGCTGCCTCTTGCATTCTCCCTGTGGAGGATTGAGCCCCAACCTAGGCATGTGCCTGGACAGGAAATCTAACTGGCAACGTTTTGGGTGTGTGGGACAGTGCCCAAAAAACAGCCACACTGGCCAGGGCTTATTATTTATTTTCAGAGATATTTCAAGTACTTCTGTGCACTGTGATTTAATAAATTATCCTTATTTTTCAGTATGCTATTGAATCACAGCTTCAACTTCATGGACTCAACACTGAGAAAAGTATGCGGATTTTAAAGCCAAGAGAGGTATATGAGAAAGAGAAATACATATTCATCACACTTCTGTTTAGTATTGATTTTTTTTCTTTGTTTTATTTAGATGTTTACTATCTTCATTATCTTAATGGAACTTTCAAGAACGTTTAAAAAAAACCTATAATTCAGTAAACAGTTGTCATTTTGTTTAAAAGGGGGGATTAAGTCAAGAGTATACTTATTTTCATTTTCCAAGGGCTAGTCATATTACAAGCAAAGTCTTTTACTATTAATAGCACTGGAGTCTGCCATATTCTTCAGTGGGAGGGTAAAGATGGCAAATTGCATATATCATTTTCAATTTCAGATGCCATTGCCTGTGGATGCCATTAAAATCATATTAAAAACTAGTAATATTTTTTTGGAACTGAATGATGCCATCTTTTATGTCTCTTCTTATTCTAAGTATCAAATGTTTTCGTTTGAGCTTGGACTATGGTGTAGAAAGGGATGTGATATAGTATTAAAAGCTTGTGCTTCATAAGTGGCTGATATACCCCTGCGCAATCCCAGACCCACCAACGTACTGGGTAAGGGACTTTGGGAAAGTTACTTTATCTCTCTGAGATCCCTTCATATTTAAGCAGGTAACAAAGAAAACACCTGATCAGACTTGACAATATGTGTAAGATCAGAAATAATGCACACTTTACATTAATAGAGATATAAGGCTACTAGTAAGTTGTAGAAACTTTGGCATAGAGACCCTGTGGCTTGTGAAATTGCACACCAGGATATCCACATAGAATAAATGTTAAATTCACAAATGATGCTGCTAGTCTGTTTGAGCAATTATTTCTTTCGACAGATAATATGTTGAGGAATTAAAATCTACTTCATTCACTTCTATTTGCCAACATGAAATAAATTAAGGAAATGGAAAGTTTCCACACCTGTGATAGGATATTTTTCTCCCCATAGGTCATGTATAAATAGCTAATTTCCAAAAAAAAGGAATATAGTCACTAATATATCACAAGTCTTGATGTTAAAAGTGACAAGTGTTATGAAGACTCATGAGGTAATTATAATCTTGGAGCACTCTTTAGCATTACTAGATTAGAGCAAGTCAACATGAATGATTTTTAACCTTTTTCACCTCATGGAGCACATAAACTAGTTGCTAGAACTAAAATTCTGCGGCACACCAAAAAATATACTTTTTGCCGATCTGACAAAAAAAATAGGTATAATTTTGATTCATTCACATCTGATGGCTATTGTTGTGTTGGCTGTTGTCATTTTTTTTATTTGACACAACGTCAGTGCCCCTGACTAAATAGCTGAGCATTGCATGTCTGAAAATTATTGCCATAGCTATCATATATATTTCGGAAAGGGAGAGAGAGATAGAAACATCAATGATGAGAAAAAAATCATCAATGGGTTGCCTTATGCACAGACCTAGCCCACAACCCAGGCATGTGCTCTGGCCAGGAATTGAACCTTGTCCTCCTTGTTCATAGGTCGACACTCAACCACTGAGCCATATCAGCTGGGCCATATCCTATCTTTAACAAATATATTTATTTGCTTAATACTGAGTCTTACAATAAATAATAAGTATTAATATATAGAGTACTTTTCTTACTATTTTTTGAAATTATGGTGGACAAACCATATTAGATTCCTTTAAGAAAAAGAGATTTGGATTATTATATAATTCATTTTACTTAGAAGATTGTTTTAGAATTACTGAAACCCTTTTTATAAATAAAGTACACATCACTAAAGAACTCAGAGATTTCAATATCAATACTATTTTTATAGATTTCTATTTTGTAAACAAATTCTAAGCTTCTAGTAGAAACTAGAGTATGTATCATATATATATATTGACCTAACACAGGATTCAGTAATTAGCAAATAGCAAGAATTATTAAAAAATAACTGAAGGAAAACTTATGAATAATGAAAATCCCTCAAATCCTTCTAATATTAGTATAGTTAGTGATGCTTTCACCTCAAAATCATGTGCGATTTAGCACTGGAGAATATTTCTGAAGATTTCATAAATAGATAAAAATTGTTATGATACAATTTGATACTTTGTATTTAGCTGATTTCTTTTTATTTTTTCAAGTTGTTTACAAGACCAAATCTAAATTCATGCACAATTTTCACTAAGTAACCAATCATTGGTCTTACATGGGGAGATGTGCAGAAAATTACTTTAATAATTGAGTTTTGCTGATATTTTTTTCAAGTTTGGGTCTTGATGTTTAGACTGCTGTGGAGGAAATTTAACACTTCAATTAGTAGAAGATAACAGTTAGGTTATATCCAGATGAAAGATGCATAAGTATTTTTATTCTACCAAAAATTCACAATATTAGATTGTTAAGTGAAATACTTATCTCTAAGAAATTTCTCTTGCTATGTAATAGTTCATGGACTTGTACTTTCTGTATTTTATTGGGTGGGGATAAGAATGAAACAATTTATAAGTATGCAAATAGCAACATTTAATTGGAAAATAAAGTAGGGTTCTGCAAAAAATTATACTTTATAAAACTCTTTTTACTATGTTATCATCCTTATTTAATAATAATAAAAACCGTGCTCAAATGCCTCTATCTTGCCAAATTTTGGAAGATCTTTAATTTGAAAAGAAAAAATCCCTTTGATCTACTTATGGCGGGAAAGTGCTCATGGTGAATTTTAGATGGGAACTATTAAGTGAGAAATTTATTATTGTGCCTTTAGGGGGAAGAAACCTTGAGAACAGAAGACATCCTTGAAGTAATTGAGAAGGAAGGAGACTCTATTGCAGTGATCCTGTTTAGTGGGGTGCATTATTATACTGGACAGCACTTCAATATGCCCGCCATCACAAAAGCCGGACAAGCAAAGGTATGCACATCATTTGCTCCTTCTCACAGCACCCCACACATCACCCTACTGACGGTACTTCTAGTGAAATATCTTTGTGTCTATGTAAAATTACTTAAAGAGTTAAAAAAAAGAGAAAAGCTTTACATATAAAAATCTTATAAACCTTTTTGCTTTAGGCATCTCCCTTTAAACCTCTTTTTATCACTTCTTTGGTCTCCCCTCCTTACTAGCATCTACTGTCCCAATGTTTACCTCTAGGCAGCAGCACAGGTGAGCTTCCTGCCAGTGATATCACCTGAACTGAGCTGCTTAGTCAACAGGAAGCAGACAGAATATTTAGGAAAGTAGCTACATGCTAGGCCGTTTGTCACACTGTAACTCATTATAAATATACTTCAGTCTTGCTTAATCCTAGGTAGCTGAAAAAGACAGGTGCAGAATAAAATTTTATCAGAAGATTGAGTTTTGCACAGTTTACATTAAGGAAGTCATTTTTATCCCTAAGAATCTTAAGAAATTACACCTACAATAAGAACTTTTCCTTAAGTATTACCAAATCACACTTAAATTGTTTACCATTTTGAACTTGTGTTATTTTATATATGCTTTTGTAAAAAAGTTATTTTAATATATGTTTGCTTTAAAAAAGAGACCAGAGAGGAGCAACACTCTCAACAGTTACAATTTGGATTTAAAATCTTTAAATGTGTCTCTTGGCCTTCTTTCGAAAAGTGTCTATTTAGGTCCTTTGCCCATTTTTTTGATTGGATTGTTTATCTTCCTTTTGTTAAGTTGTATGAGTTACCTGTAAATGTTGGGGATTAAACCCTTACCAGAGATAACATTGGCAAATGTGTTCTCCCATGCAGGGGGCTTTCTTGTTGTTTAGTTGATGGTTTCTTTTGCTGTGTAGAACCTTTTTATTTTGATGCAGTTCCATGTGTTTATTTTCTCCTTAGTTCCATTGCCCTAGGAGCTGTATTGGTAAAGATATTGCTATGACATATGTCTGCTATCTTGCTGCCTATGGCATCTTCTAAGATTTTTATGGTTCCCCTCTTATATTTAAGTCCTTTATGCATTTTAAGTTTATTTTTGTGTATGGTGTAAGTTGGTGGTCTAGTTTCATTTTTTTCCATATATCTGTCCAATTTTCCCAACACCATTTATTGAAGAGACTGTCTTGCCTCCTTTGTCATCTACACAATGGAATATTATGCTGCTGTAAAAAATAAGGAATTTTTATCATTTGCAACAGCATGGTTGGAACTGGAGAGCATTATGCTAAGAGAAATAAGCTAGTCAGAGAAAGATGAATATCACATGATCTCACTCATTTTTGGAATATAATGAACATCATAAACTGATGAACCAAAATAGGTATAGAGACAAAGAAGCATCGAACAGACTGTAAAACTTCAGCAAAAGGCAGGGGAGGGTTAAGGTGGGGTAAGAGATCAACCAAAGCATTTGTATGCATGTATATAAGCATAACCAATGGACACAGACACTAGGGGGGTGGGGGCATGTGTGTGGGATGGGGTGGGGGGCTGGGGTGAGGTCAATAAGTGAAAAAGGAGACATATGTTCTGTGTGTAATAGTTTAAACAATAAAAATATATATATATAGAATAGGAAAGAAATCCTTAAATAGCAGTTCTATTTGATTCGGCAATGAAATCATGTATTTAAAAAGGTGACAGTCAAGTTTTGTTCTGAACATTAATAAGTTATGGGATTAATCTATGTGTGAAGTCTAGTTAATATATTCAGTTATTGAAGCTAATGAATGGAACTAATGAAAAGAAATTTAGCACCGTTATCAGCAGTCTCTAGGAACTTCCAACCATGACTTCCAACTGGTTTGATAGATAACTGTGAAAGTGGTGCATTACAAAAGATATAAAGATAATGTCTTCTTAATTTAGATATTAAATGCTAGGCACCAAAATAAAGGGAGGCCAATAAAAATCATATTTTAAAATGTTATACCAGTAATCAGCAGTCCCCGAATCCCTCCGTATACATACACGTTTCATTAACCTTCATAGAAATGAGCATGAGACAGAGAAGAAAGACCATGGGTTTTGGAATCAATCACACAGCCTAAGGTTCGTCTTGGCTACATCATTTAATTGTTATATGATTTTAAGCAAATTACTTGCCTTTTCAAAAGTGTTATTTTGAGATAACAAGACTCAGTTAATAAATTCAGAGTGGATATTGAAGAGGATAAAATATCTATTGGGTTGCACACTTTCTGCTGTTAAGTGATGGTCACCTCCCCCTCATAGGTCCTCAATATGAAGTTATAGAAAGTGGCTCAGAAATCCATTTTCTTTATTTCCCATTTAAAATAAAAATACATTTATTTACTTAGGTGTTATGTAATTCTCATTCTTTACTACTTTGGATGCTAAAACCATTCTCTCAGCATTTTGCATGCTTCTGTTCACTTAAATAATATCATAAGTGCCTACCAACTGAAGTTCTCTTGGAGTTTTCAGACAAATAAAGATATGAATGAGCAGTTTCATCTAAATGTAACCACAAAGAACTGATATACTAGTACTATGGGAGTTAAGTGGTGATATAGCAGACTTTGATCCATTATAAAATTGTTCTAACAAACTTTTATACTCTTGCTATACAACTCCCCCCATCATCACTGAAGGTTGAGAAAAGTTCATTAAAATGTAGACAGACATAGCTCTCTTGGGTGGTCTATGAAGATAAAGCTGAAGGAGAGGCAGAGAGAATATTAAAGGTGTCAATCAAGAGAGAGATAGGAAATTATAGAAAAGGCTGTTAGGAGTGGCTCAGTGAGATAAAAAAAAAGTAAAGTTTTCAGACATGAAGTATGGTGGAAACAAAAATGATGTTGGATGGAGCAATAAAACAACAAGAGTATTTGGAAGTAGGAACTTTACATTTGTGTAAAAGGAAAGTGACAGAAATTGTGAAGAACATATTAATTAAATAAATAGATGCATGGGAAAAAGAGAGAAATCATAAATGGCTTGATGAGTTATTTTGAATCCTGGAAACCATCACACCTATAGCAAAAAATTTCTAGAACATTTATAACACTCAGTATCTCCTATTGTGCCTTTTTCCAAATACTGCCTGTTAGCTCTCTACCACTCTCCTGACTTCTAACAAAATGTGTATATACACTTTGAATAATTATTAATTCTAATGAGTTAAATCTGAAAATAACAAAACATCAGTTGAGCTATATCAGCTGTTTAAGTGTGTATACATTTTTGGGACACCCTGTATATTAGCTTTGTCCATCTTTGAACTTTATATAAAGATACATATATATCTAGATATAGATAGATATACATATATATCTAGATATAGATAGATATAGATATAGATATAGATAGATAGATACATATATATTTATAATATTACAATATGTATTATTTTGTGTCTGACATTTGATTACTATTACATTTGTAATATTTATTCATGTTACATGTAGCAGTAGTTTTATTTTTATTTCAGTATATAATTACAGTGTATGAAATAGATCACTATTTCCAGCATAATCAGTATAGACATTTAGGTGTTTTTTTTTTTCCACTTGAGGGCTATTAAAATAAATTCTATTCTGAGCATTCTTATAAATGTCTTTAGGTAAACATTCATACACATCTCTGTTAAATATGTAGCTAGAAGGGGAATTCTCAGAACATTAGGTATGTGTATGGTCATTTTTAATCAATAATGCTAATTTTCCAAAGGGTTGTATCAATCTGGCATATAGATGAGAGTTTTTATTGCTCGCCATTCTTACCAAAAGCGGATCTGATTAGTTTGTAATAGCAGCACATTGTAGTTTTTTTTTAATTTTTTTAAAATTAATGTATAATTGGCATAAAACATCCTACTCATTGCAGGAGTACATCATAGTGATTTTACATTTATATACGTTACAAAATGATCCCTATGATAAGCCCAGTTATCATCTGTTGCCATACAAAGTTATTATAATATTAATAGAGGCTCAGTGAACAAAATTCGTGCACGGGTGGGGTCCCTAGGCCTGACCAGTGATCAGGGCCAACTGGGGCCTTCCGGCTGCCAGCCGGGGCCTCCCTTCCCCAGCTGCCGGCTGCTGGCCGGGGCCTTCCTTCATTCCACACCACCCCTGGTGGTCAGCACAAATCATAGCGAGCGATCGAACTCCTGGTCTCCTGGTTGAACTCCTGAGGGGACACTTTGCATATTAGGCTTTTCTATATAGAGAAGATTGCTATATTTGTTATATAATACACACACGACTTATTATTTTATAATTGAATATTTGTACTTTTTAATTCCCTTCAACTATTTTACTACCCACCAACCTCTCTCCTCTCTGGTAACCACTATGTTACCCGAATCTATGAGTCTGTTTAGATTTTGTTTATTCATTTATTTTGCTTTCTAGATTTTACATTTTAGTAAAATCATACAGTATTTGTCTTTCTCTGACTTACTTCTTTAGGTTCATCCATGTTGTCACAAATGGAAATATTTCATTCTTTCTTATGCCTGAGTAATATTAGATTGTATATATGTACCACATCTTCCATCAATAAATGGAAACTTGGGTTGTTTCCATATCTTGGCTATTTTAAGTAATGCTTCAATGAACATAATTTATGATTTGGATTCAAATTAGTGTTTTGGATTCGTTTGGTTAAATGCCCACAAGAGGAATTGCTGGATCATACGGTAGTTGCATTTTTAATTTTTCGAATAAACTCCTTGCTGTTTTCCATATTGGCTGTACCATCTATATTTCCACCAACAGTATATGAAGAATCAAATTTCTCTACCAACACTTGTTTGTTTTGATTTTTTTTTTTTTTTGTAACGGCCATTCTGACAGGTGAGATCTCATTTTGGCAATTCCCTGATGATTAGTGATGGTGGGCATGTTTTCATATGCCTATTGGCCATCTGTCTGTCTTCTTTGGAAAAAAGGCTATTCAAGACATCCACCCATTTATTTTGTTTCTTAA